TCACAGTACTGATATATACAATAAATAAATGAATGATTTAAAAAAAACAGAACACAAAAACAAAGAAACAAAAAGAACAAACACAAAAAGAACACAAAAACACAGAAACAAAAAGAAGGAATGCCTACTTCTTTCAAACAAATTCCACTACCACTTGACCATTATAGTAATACAAGGCAGAATAAAAAAGTATAGTAATTCATTGTAAAGAATATAAACAATGCAAATCCCGGTTCATAGAACAAATTGAGCAGACACATTTCCCTATAAAACCACTTTTCCCTACTTCGTACCGCTTCAGCTTGCACGTGTACGCCCAGGGCCGGATTTAAGTACTGCGGGGCCCCAAACACAAAACTGTATTGCCCCCCCCCCGAAAAAATAGCTCCATCTTTATTAAATAAAAAATGTATTATAGTACAGGTACTTTCTGTAGAGATACAAATGAAAACTCAATTTTTTATAGAAATTTTTACTTGTGTTACATTTTTTTACATCATATACATTTTACATAATATTACATACAGTTAATATTAGACGAATTTAACATGTAATAAATATTTTTAAAAAATGTTTTGAAATTTTACATTTTGTTACACAGTGGACTACTTGATTAACAATTATTTCACAGACAAAAAAATATGGTATGCGTATTTTTCCGAAACGCGAGGCCCCTGGTGAATGGGGGCCCCCAAGCAACTGCTTGTTTTGCTTGTAGGTAAATCCGGCCCTGTGTACGCCCCTCCCTGGATCCGAAGGGAAATGAGATCGGAGCCAGGGACCTCTAGAAGCGCGGGGCTTCCCAGGCGGACAAGTAGCTCCCGCGTGTGCAGTTTGACATGCCTGTCCCCTTCAAGTAACCTGTAGCAGTCTTTCATTCATCGTTCATCTCGTCCCATCGACCAATCAAGAGAAACGGGGTGACATTCGAAGCGTCTCAGTCTCCTGGTGGGGAACTATTGATTTTGTTTTCTGATTAACCCAGAATATTCTAGCTAATTACTCCAAAATGTACGTTTGTGCGTTTTTGTCGCTGCGATCTAGTAATGCCCGTGGAAACCACTTTCCCCACAACCACGCTACCAAGGCGATGAATAGCAAAAATCGCTAGCGAATGAATAACCCGGACGCCACTTTGAAGTATATAATAAAAGACTTGCATTGCTTGAAAGGGAAAGGTTCGTAGTCAGTGTTGCCACCCCGTAGGATAATCGTTTTACAAGATAATTTTGTTAGTGTAGCATATTAGATGGTGTTACTCCTCTTTCACAAGATAATTTCGACTACAAAATCATATTGGAATTAAAGTAACTTTACAAGAACTTAACGATATTGTACGATGCGAGCTTGCAAATGTACGAATGTTCTTTAATAAGCCATCTGATAATAGACTGAAATAAGTATTCTTTGTACCACTTTCTTTGGGAACATTCGGATTAGGTTCTCCAAAACCGCATTCTGAAGTAGTAGTGGGCATAGACCGAAAGAACATCCGACAGGAGAAGTAGCTACTGCGTTTGTTTTTTTGGTTTTTTTTTTAAATTTTTCTATTATTGAATTTTAATTCTTAATAAATAATTTTGTTCGCATCTCAACCAAGGATAAAAGAACCAGACATGTATGTTTAAACTTTCTTTTACTTAGTCTTTTACGTAGAGTGGAATAAACTCTCAACACATGAAAATGTTTTTACAATTGTTTACAGCGTCAGCGACGCCACATTCTGCTAATAAACTTATAATAATAAAACTTATATGGATGAAACCTTTGTTTCAAATAAAGGGCCCCCAGTTTCAAATAAAGGACCCCAGTAGATGTAGTACTGCCCACGGGGCGCCCACAAAAATCGAAAGGCCTGGGGCAATTGATCGGCGGGGGCCCCTCATTTCAAACAGAAAATTCCCTCCTTCCCAATTCATAAACAGAAATCCTTTCTTCATGCACAATAAATAATTTATCTAGTTATATTTGGATTATAATTTTTTTTAATGAAAGAAAAGGGGTCTCGATTAAGACTGGATCTGGGGCTAGTTGCTCTAGCTGCCCCCCTCTTTGGTCACCCCTGGTACTGCCCCTTGCCTCTTGTTTTCTCTGGACGCCCCTGCTTTTCACGTCACTGCAGCGCCGCTGGCTCAGGTTGACGTCCGCTGGAGACTGCCAAGGCAAGAGGGAGTTGCGTAACACTGACCCCGCCACCGCACCGCTCCGCCCGCGACTCTCCCGCGCCGACGCCGACCGGCTTCGCAGATTTTGTTGCTTTTTTTACGTGAAGCAACTCGCTACGACCTGCGGAGCCATTAAGACGCGAAAGTCCGGAGCTGATTGCTCTTGTGCAAATGAATGACGTGCGCAATGCCACCTTCGGTTTTCAAGGAACCAATTCTACCGATGACTTACGCATTAGCCGAATAGCCAGGTTTTGTTTTATCCGATTGACTCTCATCTGATAGCTTTACATTAAAACAGCGTCAAGAATTTTTGGTGAATGTACTAGCGCACACATTATTTAACCCTCTGCCGTTATTAATACATTTTCTTTATTACTCATTGATTTATATCAGTAAGCCTCTCGGGTGCTACTTTTCCATAGTATGATCCAGGGGTTCGTATAGCTATAGCGACATAGCTATGGCTATAAAATGTAGATATAATGATATATAAATGTAAGATGTATAGAGATGTATTGTTCCATTACAAACGTCTCAATAGTCTTACATTAAAAACATCTCTTAGATTCGGTGAAGACGAATACGTCACGCTCGCCTCTAGTCTCCCTCAGGCGAGGATTGAATATAAAATCGGCCCAGGTCTAAGAATTCTGCTTCCTGACAACATTAATCCGACCGTAAAATGTCAAAAGTTTACTTTTGTTTAAGTCACACATGTATTTAAATGTATAAATTTCATAAATGTAAATAATTAATGTACAGTTTATTAAACACGACCATTATCTATATTAACAAAAACAACTAAAAATTAATTAGAAATTGAGTTTCTTTCAAATCCATTGTTTGGATAAGAAAAGTACCAGGAAGTATCACAACGATGGAGGAACGTACAAAACTATATTTCAGAACACTTCATCTCGTTAGCATTCAATTTTGAAAGTATGGTGTTAAATCACGCGTTGCCCTTGGTATGTCATGCGTTTTGAATCGCAGTTTGTCTTGATGATGTCTGCATTGTCTGAATGATGAGCCGACGGGTGCAAATCACGAAGAGAGTATGGTGGTTGATGTGGTTGAGATATGGTTTGCTTCTCATGTCATCAACATACTCGATATAAAAATGAACGTACGCATAAACTTTTATCTGTCGCCATTATTCTCCTTTCATGATGACCCTAACGGCCTTGAAACAGTGTAGGCAATTACGAACCATGTGTGTGATTACATGTCCAGGAAAGGTGGTCATACAAGTTTTCTCGTTTCTCCAGGTTCAGAAATTAGAATGATATCCATTCATCCTTATTTTCATTAATGTTACGGGAACTAAACATATTATTGTCTAATAGAGTTACAAGAGTCCCGATTAAAAGTGATAAGAATCACAAACTTAAAGAGCGCAGAAGATGAACCCTTTAATCTCAGTACATCCGGATAACACTTCACGCACCAATAACAGATCGTGAAATGTCGTACATTATTTGTATTGCCGATTACCCGTTTGTATCGTAGCATGCCAACACACGTATCTTTCCTTTCGTTAACATCACAATCCGTGTTCCGTATGCTGAATTTACTCGCCTTCCCGAAGTTGCGCAATATTTCGTAGCGCGCCAGTTCCCAGAACATTGGGTCTGCACATGTGCTGGGCACCGCCGACCACTTGACCTGCCTTCAACCTTGAAATGACGTCATGGGCAACATCCATGCAGGAGACGCTGCCAGAGGCCTCTCGCGTCCACACACGCATGGTGTCGTGGATTCCATCGTGTGCGGGTTAGATGAAACGTGCCATTTGCGCCCAATGACCTTGGTTTTTCCACGTCCGCAACAAACTTCGTGCGCAGGAAAATCCTAGGTGCAACTTCCGGCGATGAGGGTGTTTCGACAAGTCTGGGTCTAATTATCTGTCGACGTAATGGCATGGACGATTATTTCAGAAGCTGGCTGCACTGATCAGCCCGTAGTTTCCTCTGATAAAATCAAAGCGAAACTGCAATAGTATCTCTATCAACGAACTATTAATCTCGCGATCCTTCCTCCAGCACCTTGAAAAGTTTCCCTTTAGAAAAACTGGTCGTTCTGCGAGACGCGAATGCTAGACCGAAGTTTTTATGATCATTGAAAGAGACGCCTCAGAAGGGTTTCAGATAAGATTCAATCGTTCCACAGGATCATTTCTGTAGTATTTGTAGATATTCTCTTGGATATGATGGTTTATTTTTATAAGAATACATCTGTATCTCCGGAAGCATTAGAGATCTTCCGAAAAATTGCACAGCTACTAAACGGGATTTTTACCAGCGAAGCGTGGCGCGACTGACGAATATTTTTACGTTCAAAAGTTTTATTTGTATTTTGCAAGTTTGTGTTCAAAAACTAAATTTTAAACATAGTACTGTTGCTGGGTTCGTCCATTTTCGGACATAGACATTACATAAAAAGAAACTATGTTTCATTAAAATAATTGCTTTAATTTTTGTTTCATTACAAAAATATTTTTAACTATATTTTGAAACAATTCTCAACGTTTCATGTAAATACCATAAAGTGCAGTAATTTGTTTCACCAATGCACTCGTAGGTGCATTGAAACCGTAAAATACACGTGTTTTTCTAGAATGCTTCCTGAAAACAATAGAGGGAAACAACTAAGCATAGAAGGGTTTCTCGAAAACAAAAAGCATTAATCCAAAATTGGGAAAATGGAATTAGTGATGCTTTCTTGTAGTGTGAACTTTTATGCGTCAGAGGATTATATCGACTCAGACTAAAGTGCACTAATCCCGAAGAAAAATAGGTGATTCTGGAAAAAATTATACAATCATAATTGTAGGTCAAAAGTGTTTCCGGTAAAAAAAAAGGCATTAGTTATGGAGAAATGAAATTAACTGCAGGGGGTGTGATGAATGATCAGCTTCCAGAATTTCTGTCTAGTATTTTAAATGCGTTTATTGCTGGTTGTATTTAACCTAGAATATATTAAAAACACTTTGGTAAAGTATGGAGGTTCAATTGTCTCTCCAAGAAAGGTATTGTGGTTGGAGTTTCAATTGCTTTCATTGTATGCAAGAGTAACAATGCAATATGTAAAATGCATGTAATTTTATTCTTGCAAGATTCTGGTACATTGTGCTGATATATTCATAATAGCAAATTTTATATATAAGTAATCTACAATTTTCATGCAAATATAATAAGTTGTATGTTTCATTTTCTTGAAACTTTTGAAATATATTGTTTTATTTACTCACAACTGCATTTTATATTTCATGCTGTGTAAAAAGCACTCCCGTACAATATAAAATTTCATATATCTTGCTGAATTAGGTAAGTGGACTATTATTTCTCATTTCGCACAAATATGATTTTCGTACTAATGCTATTTTTCCGAGAAGCCCGTCAATTGTGCTACACAATGCGTCTTGAGCTATTGATTACGTCTGTAGGTGCCGTAAGTTACCCAAAACTTCCTTTTGATGCTTAAAAAGTGACAAATATGTTTTTTGTGAAATTCCCACGAATATTGAACTTATATGTAATGTATAGAATATATTAATATAGTTTATTCGAATTATCAATACTCCATTCATCGATCTGTAATGAAATCATCTGTTCCCCACCTGAAGACCGATGCGCGTCGACTGATTGTTAGTGATTCCGGGCGCGTCAACTAATAAGGTCACAGTACCGTAAGTGTAGTGTATGTTTTTTCATCGTGAGGTGGCTGTGATTTTCCCCGGCTAGAGAGAACACTCTTAGACTTCAGACGTTTATAAGAATCATTTCTAGCACTGCGACTGAATCTTGATAAGACGTTATCATTATTTTGGACGCGGAAATTATTATTTATATTATTCTTTCATAATTGGTGAATTCACTATTTCAGTTTCCTAAAATATGCAATAAAAACAATGTTGGTTATTATATGATCGACACTCGTAAGAATAAGAGATATTTCCATAGCAATCACGAACTAGGTAGCCAAACGTGACAATCACCGTTGTCAATACAATATCAACATACAATTCATTGATCGACTGAGTTTAGCTAGGAGCTAGCATAGCCGTTGTCTCTGCAGCGACTCTGACCTGGTAGATAGCTAGTATGTAGCTTATAGGTAGAATTCAGCCGCTATCTTGAGGAGTAGCGGCCTGCTGGTCTGATCGGTTCTTTTCCGTGGTTTCTCCGAACAACACCCGACGAATCCCGAAGCTGTGCTCTAACAAAAAAGGGAACGTCCGCGCGAAATCTTGCCTTTTTTGTCTCGTGCTATGCTTTCCTCTTACACTCAGATTTACTCTTCCTCACACAACATTACTACAAATGTCATAAGACCAGTCGGTAGTTTAGAGCTTTTACCGGCTGGGGCGGTGACTGATTGGGGGAGATACCTGGAGAGGGATTCTCCCACCAGCCAACGTGTTGGCCTTACCATCATCTTGCGATCCAGCAGGGAAAGAATCACCGACACATCCGGAATAAAACATCCACTGCAACAATGGGGCTAACGACCATTAAAGTTGAACTGCCCAGAAACATCAATCAAATCCAATGTCAATCCAAATGATAGAAAGACTTTGCACAGCGTCGAAAATGAAGTGCATTGAGGGTAAGATAAGCTGGAATCCGACTGCGTATATGTACCTAGCTTAGTCTCACGTCACCCCAAGGAAAGATGGGAATACAGTAGCCTACTTCGTGAGGTTTCAAAGTTCTGAGAATGCACATACTATATCAACTAGTACGGTTTCAGAGACAATGATGCATTAAAGAAAGAGTTTGAGGTTTTAACTGAGGAGAAAATTCCTTTTGAGGAGTTTGTTGCAAGTAACAGATTTGTATTGGAATCTGAAGAGCGCGAGCAGTTTTGCACAATTTGTGGGTTGGGGTACACAGAACGTTGTATAGCACGTTATCTTTCACCATGAAGACCTTAATAATGCTTATTCGACCTGTAAAATATTTAAAATGCCTGTTCAGTCCAATTGAAGTTGTGCAGTAGAAACTACAAAGCGTTTCTAGAAGACTGTCTAACTGAAGCTTAAATGAGAATTAAACAGCAAACCAGGATGTACCTGCCTGCCATTTGCATCAAAAGTGAAAGAAACAATTAATGTAATTCCTTCCAACATTTACAAATGCATTACATACTTTTGAAATATAGAGATATCATTTTATGCCTATAAAGTAATACTCATGATAAGAAGTCATAACATATTTTAATATTAGTGTTAAATAAAATAAAAAGTTGATGAAAAAATGTTTCAATGTCAATGTTTCTACCTATTTAAGGATTTATAAAACATACTTCTACTTTTTAAGAGTCTTCTTTAGGCGCCTAAAATAGATTTTAGAGCAGGGGGGACCAACTTCCAACGCCTCAAGGGTCACAACCAAAACCTTTAATGTGGGTGCGGGGCAATTTTTCATTAATTGGGCGATTCACAGCTAACTTCCCGGTATTGTTAGTCTCGGCACTTTGCCCGGCTGCGCTGAAACGGCGAAAGGAGGGGGAGAGAATGGGACCACGCGTGTTACCATCAGGGTGTACCATCATGCAGTACAACACATGATTTTGAATTTGAAAATTTATTAGAAAAAAATACTTCAGTGAAACTTTAACCTATTTTTACGTGAAAGGTGTGTTGACTCCGGCAAGGCACGTACGCTAGGCGCACCATGTTCTCGCCCGACAAGGATGCAAGGACCTTTCCCCTTTCACTAATAACACCTGTTGGACACCCCTGCTATATAGAACCTAAATATCCTATTTCTACTAATTACTCGAATTCCGCAATTATTTATTCGTACGAGCACGTTAAGTTTTCAGTTGTCCGTTAGGTCAACTTCCACTTCCATTATGTCACAGTTTTTCACTATCTCGCCGATAGCGCCTGTGACAGGGCCTTATCTGGAAGCGCAATATTGCGTAATATGTGCCGGCGAGCGACGAAAACAACGCTCTTCGCATCCACGTGTGTATGTATGTACTTGGCGCGACAGCCCCTGAACAGGCTCAGGCCTACCGGCGACGTTCCTGCCATGGGCGGAGGGGGAACGTGAGGGTAGCACTTTAACATTCCCATGCCGTATTCCGGACTTCTCAACTTGAGAGGTGTTTTCTTCCCACCGTCCCCCTGCAACATACACTGGGACATAGCAAGAAAAACGCACTCTATAATCTCGCCTGACCGGGAATGGAACCCGAGGTGGCCAAGAGCTAGCCACGTGGGAACGCGCTTGCGGGAGCGCGGCGAGCCGGCCTGCCAGCGGGCGCGTGCGTGCGGGTGGCTGGGCGGGCAGACGCCAATTGCTATTTTGCTTCCGATGCGCAGTCGTGGAATGTGGCCCTGACGATTGCCGCGAGACGAAGATAACTCCACGGACGACGGCGGTGGCGCTTGGGGCATCGATCTCGGCGAGACGTAGGTCAAGGTCGCTGCGACTTGGGACGGGTGGGTGGCAGGTTGTGCCTGTCGCGACGGCACCGCGTGTACGTCATATTTGGGCCAGTTTGTCGGTCAGACGTCGGGCGACTGGCAGCGGCGCCAGAGATGGCCGAAGACCGACCGACCGATCGAATCGCGTTATTGTTAGAACCAAGCATTTTTTTTTTTCAACGAAAAACCCAAGGGTCCTTTCTTAGGAAGGGAAATAAAGCTACTTTTTCAGTGACGCAAATCGACATCGAAATAGGTCCTAACAACTGAAGTTTAAATAACGCCTGGGAGTTAAATTGTAAAACCGTTCATCTAATGTTCCCCGACCTTTATTTTGACATTAATACTAGTTATTATATTCATATTATGCGATATTGGAAATTAAATTGATATTAAACTATGTTGATAGGAGTTCGAAGTTTTAGGTAATTATCATCTACATTGTGCAGTAACACATTCAACATGTTGCTTCTGTTATAACTAATAATACTAATAATAATAATAATAATAATAATAATAATAATAATAATAATAATAATAATAAAGTGATGTAAGTTTCCTTCCATATTCCAACATGGTTAAAAAAATTAATGATGTCGGAGCCGTCTGCTCTATTTTGGTGTTTTGATTTCGTAACCAATCTTACGCAATTTTCTAAATCCGTCGTGTGTTTCAGATTTTTCTAGAGAAGGCAACTGGGAGAGACGCTCAGGGCATCAACTTATGTCACTGCAGACCCTCTGACCGTGAGGTCCTAGGTTGGAATACCGACAGTGGCAGGATTTTCGACACTTCGTGTTAGCTAGATCGAATTCAGTCGCTGTTTGGAGGAGAATTCTAGTGGCCGGTAGTTCTAGATCAGTACTTTTCCCGTGGTTTCTACAATCAACACAAGGCGAATGCCGGAGCAGTACTCTAACAAACGAGACACGAACCACGCGCTATCTTTCCTACCTCTTCCTTGTCCTATCCTCTTCTCTTACACCCACACACACACATACACCTTACACTACCAGCACAACATAAGCACACATGTCGGGGGACCTGTCGGGAGCTTAGAGCTTGTCCTGGCTGGTGCGGTGCCCCGCTGGTGGGTGACACCCCGCTAGCCGACAGTAGGTCAGCGCCGGATCTCACCATGCAGCGAGGAGACGATCACCCCCACCCCAACCATGTTTCCCCACCTCCCGAGGAAAAACATGCCCTACACTTACGCGATTAATGGCCCGTTAGCTGACGTACCCAGATTCAGTAAATAAATCGAGAAGGCAAACGTGATCTTCTTAACGTAAACAGATTTACCTTGACTGGTTTTTAGAGACATTCAGTTCCTAGTAGACTGGTAGCCGTTTCTTAGTATACACTTTTTTTAAACTTCTCAGCAAATTCAGGCATATATTTACAATCGAAAAATAAGCTGCAAATAAGTTGATCTGGAACTGTTTCTGCAATAATTGCTCTCAGAACATTTTCATAGAAAACTAGAGCGATTTTTTTTTAAATTACGCAAATGGTTTTAAAGAAATAGCAATGACGATTCTTTTTTATATTTACTTTTTTTAACTAGATCTTCAAAAAATGTATTTTACATACGGTGTATGGAAGAGTTTAAGAACATTGAAAGTTTCAGTCTGGCTTATTCTACTTTCCTAAAGAGAATTTTTATATGTGCATTGAACGGAAATACTGCATTTTGGTGGGGGTGAGCAACTAATGAATTAACGTCAATGACGAATACTTGCGGATCGGATCCCATTTTGGTATCCTTGGTCACATGTACTAAGACCTCAGTTCCTAATACGATAACAGTGAGTAGCACTCATTAAATACAAATAGTGCCGATGTGTCTTTTCTGGCAGAGATATCTTTGAATAAGGAGCTTTGAATGAGATATCTGGAGAAGTGGACTTTCATCCCTACTTAAAGCAGACGTAGTACACAAACACATGCTCAGGACTTTTGGTACTGAATGGAATAGAAGGGTGCTGAATAGAAACGAAACTCTTTGCCTCTGATAGCATTGGAGTTTTTCAAAGCTGTAAGGAAGAATGTAGAGTTAATGTTTAAAATTTCATCGGTTATCAGTTTGCATATTGATCCCGGAAGTCCGTAAGTTGATAAGGAAGACAGCTTTATGATGTCATGTGTCTGCATAACGTAATAAGAGCAATTCTTTCAAGACGCTGTATTTATATGTTAATCTAAGCCTTCTAAGTGTGACGACACAAGAATGGTCACCAGCGCCAAGGGCTGATTGGGGCCATGTAGGAATATATTATGTATTCCTTCATGTATAGGCGGTATGGATAAGCATCGAACCGGCAAAAATTGATTATAACGTCCAACAATATCTTATCTCATACTTACAGTGTGGTAAACGTTTCTTTGAGGCCTTTCACCTCAAAATTTTTGTTTCCAAGACCCTAGAACGCTTCGCTTATGCGTTATTTAACGAAATAGAGGATCGAGTGTTGCCGGTTACATTAGACATGAATATTTAGATGATTAAAAACAAACAAACAAGCCCTTCATATTTCAAGTCTAAGTGCAATTCCTCATGTCTCCGTGAAATTATCTTTCTTTAGAGATTTCATTTATAAAGATCGATTGCATGTTAGAGCTGCAATAGGTATGTATACTCCTGAAATAATATAGGAACGATACGAGCGCATATTTATAAGACGCACCATTCTACGCGTAGAATGTTTATCCAAAGATGCTCTACTTTAAATTTTGACCTAAAGAAATATTTTGTTCCTTACATTACAGATTTCTGAGGAAAAACTTAGGGCAATGGACGTACATCGGATAAGCTGTGAGTATTGCATAAAAAACCCTTTTGAGTACTTTAATGCTAATTCAGAAACTTATTAGTTCATCTTGGGTATTACTGTACTTCCACGCGCTCTACATATCACAGTGCCAGTACAATCTTAATACACTTCACAGTGGCGCATCATCTACAACAAAACATCGATTTTATCAAACGATCTTCTAATTATCATGTTCAAAATTAAAACATTGATGATAATAATACACTGTAGAACCTCGTTAATCCGAACTCCGCAAATCCGAATTTTCAGATAATTCAAACAAAATTCCGGATAGAGGAAAAAATAAACAAAATAAATAAAATGAATATTTGTAGTGTAAAGAAAGGATTTTATAATTACTATCGAACTGAAGAAATAATTATTGAAACAAGTTGTCAAAATGAAACGTTTATTGAACTGGTAACTACTGTGTATATCACATGTTTATGTAGCTGTGATTATCTTTTAAGGGACTTGCAAAATCTCTAATCTTCTGTCGTGAGGAACTGAATCTGATTGATGATGCGATGTGCTCATGCGCTTGCTTCGCCACTTGCCACTTTCTCACATCGCATGCTACGTTGAATTTTTGACCGGTAATCCCATAGAAGTTTTTGTGTACGTGCAGTATATTTTTTTGGATAATTCGAATATTTCCGAATTCGAACAGACCAA